CTAAGTGCCTGCAGATGCCACTGCACTGARTCTCTGGACCTTTGGATGCTGCTGCATGGGAGGTGCCCTCCAATKCAGTACAGAAAGRCAACACCTTTGCAGAAGGCTGTAAYCTCATTTTGGACMWCAGGAGCCAYRAAATAATGAATAAGAGCTAAACTGCTTCGCTTGAATAGTGCAGTACCTTTGTCTGCAGGTCAATGTCCTGAGCCTTGCCCACAGCATGAGGCATACAGGAAGGAAAATCCAAATATCTTCTATTCGTGTTTTAGTGGCATTAAGTTAAAAGGACTTCCAAACTGTGTATTACTACCACATAACAAAAAACAGTTAGGAAAATTATCAACTGTACCGTACTAGAGAAATGCCCCAGCTGTTAATTTAGAGTCCAAAGCAAAGTTTTACTGGAGTGAATTTATGACTACTCATTATTTAACTTAGTCTAGGATCATAATTACAGATGGTACTCTAAGGCGAAATCCCACTGATGGGAAACAGCATCTTTGAGACTCCAGCAAAGAGTAATCAGACACCTTTGGGGAAGTAATCAGGCATCTGTGAAAGAAAACTCTGATGTCAAGAGCCCCTCACATGGGATGCTTGTTTAAGTGTTGTCAGGCTTGCAGCACGTTTAATGAGATAGAAAGGTTAAAGGGCTTTGAGTGTTAAAAAAACATAAAGAAGAAGAAACAACATTTGATGTAATCAGCTGCAAAATAAAATGGGCAAGTATTGTTGCACATGGGGTATTTCCTGAAACAAGGAAATGAAACACCTTTTCCTCTTGAGTTTCCATGCCTACACCTTTACTAAAGCAGGTAATGTTTTGTAAATACAGCTCTGCTTGATGGGACAACATGTGAAAGCAGTAAGGAACCTTCAAACCCAGATCCTTGAACTGGATGCACTTTTATGTAAGAATTCTATTTGTCCCTGAAGAGCAATGCACAGTATTAAACCAATAAATAATTAGCAATCCCTCTACCAGAGTGCAGGACGATGATATATGATATGATATGACAGAGCAACACAGTTCTGAGCCACAGAAGACAGGCCAGAGAAGAAAGGATGCAATTTTGACAGAGATGGTYTTGTCCAAAAAGTCAAACACTGCCACAGTCACTGATAACTACAGCATGTGATTAATGTTTTACAAATACATTCTTGGCTTAGAATAGCTGTACAGAGAAACTCTTAACTTGTCAAAACTTTACATAAATTAGTATTGCAACATGTGTGAGCCCTCCTGGTAAACAATGATCTTCCTGATTTAGCAGCATGATCTACTCTATAGTTTGGATCTCTGAATGCTTCATCTTTTTAAAAAGTATCACAATACAAGGGTTTATTATCAACCCACCAGTTGCTACAATTACATAGCTGAACAGTATTTAACCTGAATGGTGCATTTCAGACATAAGATCTTTAAACATCTTCTSTATGGTTTTTTGAAATAGCTCCAGGGTCAACTTAAAAATTAAGCTCAGCTCATGGGCTCTGATTCAGCAAAGGTCTTATGCATATGCTTTTATTCCAGGCATACAAGCAGTCCTCAAGAGAACTGTTTTAAACCAGCTTTTGCCAACAGGAAGAAGGAATGAGATAATGGAATAAAGAAAAACTCTTCTTGTTAGAGTCTGACACAAAAGAAAATCTGGAATTTTCACTTCTAAGTGAAAAACTAGTCCTATTTCAAATTAGCTTAAGTATTTCAYCATCTTGTATTCTGATGATTGAAAACAATGCCCCTCTCTTCATTGCCTCTTTAAAATTAAAGAAAGAGGAGGTAGAGGAGAGTAACTGCAAAACAAAAGGCTGGTAACATTCCCACTGGTTTATAAACTGGATCCAAATGCACTGACAGTTTTGGTTGACCTAAAATAGCCTTTCCCAGAAGGCATTTTGTTTACCAAATGCCACCACTGTTGGGGCTTTGCTGAGGAAATCTCAGAGGACTGGTATAGAGTGAGAAAGTTTTCCTCCAGTATATCTGCAGGTTATGCTACTGGTCACAGTTCTGTGACCTGAGATAGCTTTGATAGCTGAGAGAAAATAAATTTCTATTTGGTGCCAAACTGTTCAGGATGGCACGTTTGCCAGTGGACCACTGCAGAGCTGCATTGCTTTGTGCTGATCTGAAATTCCCTATTCACTGGGGAATTCTGAAAATTATTCTGAACATTATGCAAATTGTTCTGGGCACATTTTCCTCCAAAATAAGAAAGGCTTACATAATGAATGCTACACTGTTTTCCAGATTAGCAATACTGCCCACAGACTTAATAGAGTGTGACAGAGGAAACAAATTGCAAAAATTCACACCGACAAACAAACCCGAACTTCCCCTCCAGAGCTGAAGACCATCACAAACCATATCACCTTGCAGCAAGTAAAAGACACATTTTCGTGACCTTGCCTTTTCTACAACACACAAATCAGGAACAGGGAGGGCAGACAGAAGCCAACATGTGACAGCCATTGGCCACATTGCCTAATGCAATGTGGAAAGCATTTGAGGTGCAACCATGAGGTATGCAGAAGAAGCTGCATAAAATAAATTTGTTATGCTAACCCTACACTCTTCTATACTTGTATGCAAGACTGTCTGGCTGGAAAGCACTCCATGCACTCGGTTCCTCAGTACTTTTGCATGAATGACACCATATAAAGAGGCACTGTATTTACTAGCTGAATAAACAATAGGTTTTGCTTTCACTSAAGTATTATGATTTCAACTCATTTTATTTATATGTCAGTAGTTCAGAATGTGCAGTGGACCAGGCACATCATCACTGCTCACCTTTGTCAAAGAAGGGGCCAGAAGCATCCACATTGTTATATTTCTGGAACAGCTATATCTCATCCCTGTAACCTTTGGAGGATACATTACAATCTATTTTGTGTTACCAACACTGTGCCAGCCTATTTATTTTTAAGTTTGTGAAAAAAAATGCACCTATTTCRGTGTCCCCCGGTGTGCACACAACCCATAAAGTGACAAGCTGACAGAGCTGGTACAAAACKACCGCCTGCCCAGCCTCCTACAGCAAAAGCTCAGGGGAGAAGGAAATCACCAACTCCAGCATCATCCCTGCCATTAGATGGCACACGGAATGATGTCAGACCATGGGAAGTGCATGTCCCCCACCTGAGCATCTCTTGTCATAAACTCAAATTCCCAGGCAGGCACAAGTACAGAGCATTATGGTACCTGAACACAATGAGAACATGCCCAGGAAACCAGTGCCCAGGCAGCAAACCAGTGCCCAGGCAGCAAACCAGTGCCCAGGCAGCAAACCACATCAACACAGACTAACAATTGTGCAGGTCTCCTGCTCATATAGACTGGCTCATCTCATGAGCCATGTGTGTTTGGTTCTAAAAGATGAAATCATGGTCAATCTTTCCAGTTATTCAAGGGGCTCCTCCGGTCTCAACAGTTCCAAATTCAAGATCAGCCCATTAACTACAGAACCTTAGTGTTTGTAATTTGCTTTGACGAAATTGTAGGTTTCAGTTATTTACTATAGTGGTGAAAATCACCCAAAGCATCTTTATAACCTTAAAAACGATCCAGCAAGGTGAGGAATATGCAGGCAYGTGGCCAAAGCAGTTAAATCTTCTTGAATGTTATACCAGAGGTACCTTGACTGCACTCAAAATAAAAACTAGTCAGTTTTGTCACTCTTAACATAATGTAACCCATTAACTTTCATCACTGTTCTGGGTAAATAATATGTACACAGGMTATAACTGAAGAAATTACTGACACATGTTGCTGTTACAACACTGATTGAAAACTATAGGCCAGAGCATCCGAGCGTAGCAGGGCTTCTTCATTCCCAAGAYCTCCTTCTCACTTCTGATGTAAATTCTCTGTCCCAAGGCTGCCTTTAACGTACATGAGGTTTGTGTACGTGTATATTATATATATATAAATAAGCACGCTCAGAGAATAATGAGCCCTGAGAAATACACTCTCCCAGCACTCTCTGGGGAGGGTGAGGTTGCTGAACGCAGCTGTTTTCATGATTCACATCCTCTAAAATCTACACTTGCTGTGCCTGGCCAGGTGAAAACGCCAGGTAAAAAAGGGAAGCTTGTAAATCTGCTTAGCTGTTCCCTTCTGGCAAACTGCCCCTCTCTTCTTTACCTCCACTGGTTAAGCACCAAGCACTTCGCAAGACTGAAGACTGGAAAGTACATGTCATTTCTTCTACCTATAAATAATGCCAGTCAATAAAATAAAGGCAAATAAAAGTAGTAAATGATATTTATTTCTAGCCTAAATTTATCCAGAACACATTTCTCTCAGAATTTCTGATGTGCTCCTCTAGCCAGGGCTGCCCATGCCAGTGTGACAGCAACCTCCCTCCCTCCCACCCTCCTCCATCCAGCTCATTATCTGGTGTCTGACAGAAGCAAGTGCCAGCTGCTCGACAAAAACCACATGAAACGTTTCAGCAAGACATTAGAAAATCACCTGCCTAAAAGGGTCTCTTTTCCTCCTGTCACCATCACCAATAGCCTGATGCAAACGTTGAATTAAAAGGTCRGCAGTTCTTCAGAAGTCTTGTTACTGGAGAAATGAAACCCATCACCACATCTGGATACTCTATTTCCATTCAAACACCCAGTGCCTCAGTGCTAATGGGGCTGCATTTTCCCTCTGACCTTGGCCCTTTGCTTTTTYCTTTTGTCAGGCATCTCCACAGCCCTACAGCCAGCTGGCAGAAACAGGGATATTGCCCATTTGACACTCAYATTTGTTGCTTTGAGATGCACATATTCTAAGTGTCATGGCACACTGTGATAGCGAGTTCTACAGGTATTTGTGGCATAAGCACAATTAGTTAATTTATTGACACCACCAAGGAATGCCTGCACAACCTGCATTATTTCTTTGGTAGCTCACAGCTGTTCTGGACAGAATTTGATGACAAAATAGACAAAAAAAAATCTCCTATTAGTCAAATGTAAAATTCTAAAATATAACTTACCTTTGGAAGCTTCTGTGCCAAGTGGATTGTCCAAGATGTCCATCATGTCTTGGTTCCAAGCATCCTTCACAGCAGATTTGGATATCTTCCTGTTGTTCAGGCTTTGCTGTGGTCGGAAGTTATTCCTCAGGTACTCCACAGACTTGACATGGTCTTGCTGCTCAGTGGTGAAGATGGAGTAAAATGCCTCCAGCTGATCGCAGCCATCATTGCAGGGGAGAGAGGGGAGACATTAATTAGAAAAACAATGTGGTGAAATCCRGGTGGCTGATAAGACAGTAAAATGGGAGGAAGTAAAATGTTGATGCCAAGACTGATAAAGCACATGGGAAGTCAGACTGCCCACTGAAATCATTTCCAACCACCTTATCTCGGCACAGGGCTTATCCTGCCCTCCATGGGAGAAGGCTGCCTAGAACCTGTGGACGTTCTGTCATTGGCAAAGAAACATTTGCCCTTAGACCCCTTGTCTGGAAGGATTTTGTGTGTGACACACCCTTGCCAAACCCTCCTCACCGCTGGCACCGTTTTGTTTCCCAGTATCGCGTCAAAAAGTGCTTCCAGGTCATTCCACACCAAGAGCTTTCTCCTGGATAAGGCAATGCTTCCTTATCTCCAAATACCTTAYGAAGTTTAGGTGCCAGGCTAAGCCTCACAGACAGCTCGTGCAGCACTTTTAGGCACAGCTAGCATGCACTCCTCTGGGAGTAAGTTTCTTCTGTTGGATTCAGATCTGAGCTATTTATAAGAAAACGTATTAACCTGTAAGAAAGAACTGTAATTGGAAAACTTTCCTGTTACTTCGTATCTTAGCGTTTCTTAGAAAAAAAAAATTCTAGCAAACTAAGGTGAAAGTATTTTCAGCTAATGTTTTTCTCCCCGCTATCAAGGTTGGTACAGCATTTACTGTTACCTTGTTATCATTCAGGACAAGAACTAGAATTAGTTATGTTGCTGCTGGAAAGACTGAGCAAGACAGAGCAGCAAAGGATTCAGTCCTGATATTGTTTGCATCACATCAGTTACACATATTGGCAGTATGGATTTTGGAGCGCAGAATCTGGCCAGGACTTCAAAAAGGGACTCGAGTTACATTCATAGCCCAATGACAGTTCACTGAAACTCACACCTTTTTCATTAAGTGTGTCTGTTCTAGAAGCTCTGGAGAAGCATGTGAGCTCCAAAAAACTTACAACTGGAAGAATTATCATGGCAGCCTCAGTTGATAGCACTGATAAAAATAATCAAATCAAGGTGTAACACAGCAGTTAAGCATCGTCCACTGACTCATGAGGCACCCACTATCCACTATGATTTAATTTTCCTTCTAACCAATAATCTGAGCTCCCTTCAGCAGAGGGACAGCAGGGGATGAGCAGGAAGGGGTGACCACAGTGACCAGTCCCCATCACAGGCAGAGAGCTCAGGTCCCACTTCCAGAGATCAGCTGCCACTTTCAGGCTCACAGGCTCTGATGGTGGGATTTGGATTGTACTTTTTTCTGTATTTTATATGAATGCCTTATACCCAGTTTCTCAACATAATTYTGTTTCTGATTCTTTCAAAGAAACATCTTGAAAATTTTCAAAAACAATTTCCTMATTATTAGCAGGACCCCCTCAAAAGCATAGGAGGACAGATTAAAAAAGAGGTAAAGGAACCGACTTACACTTTTGTATTAAAAAGAAAACCCCAACAGATGATCCTGTGACACCTTTCTACAAAAGCACAGATCAAAAYGCTTGTGCTTATTTACATACTTTTTGCACTTCATGCACTGGAAGCAGTTTTGATGAAGCCAGCTAACAGGGCTTAAGGTGATTTTATAAAAGCTCAAGAATTTGGATAGTAAATGTTTCTCTGAAGTCAAGTCTCTAGGYTTAGACATCTATGACATTAATTGAATTTTTAAACTTTCAGAGAGAACTTTTAAAATATTTTCTTCTGCCATGCTACCTTGGGGAGATATAATTGCATTTTAACAACTGCAAATTCAAACATGATTTTTAACCTTCTGCTTTTTTATGTGTTAAAGTATATATAAGCCATTTCAACCTCACTTTCACTATAAAAATATTATCTATGACAAATGAGAAATTAATTTATCCATAGCTGCCAGAAAAAAAATATTCTAAGATCTGCAGTCAAGGAGCYACATTGATGCTCTTCAAGGAGTACAAGAGTTCCTGTTCAGAAGAAGAAATTAAAAGCTCTTGTAAGACTATTGTAAATACAGGGAAACCTGATCTAAAACTCTGAGTCACGCAATTACAAACCATTAGAGCCTGATGTGTAGTTTTCTAAGGGTCGGATATACAAATGGCAATTAAAAATATTGAAACTGTTATAAGGACAATGAGCTACTCCAAGGTATGCATTATGAGAGATAATGCAGTGCTTTGGGTCATTGAATGCACTTAGCTTTACAATGCATCTGCAGGGTGACACAGCTTGTCCTGGTTTGTTGTCTAATTACCAGGGAAGATGATGATGATGGAGGACTGAGAATAAAAGAGAGAAGCSTCCACAAATGGACCACTTCAGTACTGTCCTTTTCCCAGCAAGGTATTTTGCACAAAGGCAAGAATTTAATTGGAACAGCAACAAAGCTTAAACAATATCACTGTTATCCCCTGGGATTACAGGCTGCTTGGCGGGGTTTGTGATAAAGAAGGTTAAACTATAGCAATGGATTATGTTACACTGCTTCTGTTAGAGGAACAAATAATAATCATAGCAGTGGCAGGGTGGCAGGCTCTTAAAACACATCTAGAGCTGCCAGGGAGGGGGGAACACTATTATTTATTCCACATGTGTTGTAGTATCAATGAAAGTCTGTCTACACACAGAATTCCCAGCCCTTCAACCACACACACATGCACAGAGCAGCACAACGCCAAATTTTAAAGGCTTGATTTGGCACAGTCACTGCTGTACAGCACAGGAAAGGAGCTATGCCAGGATAAAGTACCTCTGTACCGACAGCCGAAATTGGTATTTAACAGTTTATTTGCATTTGTTAAAAAAAAGTCGTGACCCACCTGATTCACACAGAGGGTATAAAACTGAGCATGGGCCAGGCCTTGCAGCCACCAAATAATAAACAGTAAACTTATTGATGTAGTGAAAAGCTACAAGGGATTGCAAGTATCCTGCAGGCAAGGACAGAATTCAAAATGATCTCGACAATCAGAGAAATAGCCTGAAAAAAACAAAGGGTCTGATTCAAACGGGACCATGTGCAGAGTCCCAGGCTCCAGCCAGAACCRGGGGCTGCCTGGGGGCACGATGTGCTCAGCACTGCCAGAGAGCTCCAGGGAAAGCCTCCAACAAAAATGTTCCTGCTGACCAGGAGCTGAACACCGGCAGAACCGTCACACTTTTGTGAAACAGGAAAAACAACACCAGGATGGGTGGCTGGAGACATGAATTGTGACATGGCCCTCAGCCTCTGGGGGCYCCAGCTGAAGCACTGAGACTGATTTTGAACACAGACTGTCAAGAAAAGACAAAAGAGTCTATGGGAGAAGCAATGAGATCTAGAAAATTAGAAAAAAGCCTAGAGCAGGGGTATGGCAAGTGCCTTCCGTACTTCTGAAACAATTGAGCACAGCATCTGTCAGTCAGAATCACCCAGTGAACTCTTCACGTGTGCTTCACAGAATTACTGCATGTAAAAAGTTTGTTTTCAGTGGTTTATGACAGATGAAGAAAGGTAAGACAAAGTCCAGCAGGTTGGTTTTCTAAAGACAACAGTCTTACAATGTCAAAATACACTGAACTGGCAAGCATTTGACTTCTTCTAGATGTTACTTTATCAGGATAATTCTTCAAAACCCAGACATTGTGTCTATTTGCATTAAAAGCTGCTATGTGCTAATTTTAAAATTTGTGCGCCAGCTCTCTGAGCTTATAATGGCAGTTTTACYGTGTTATAAAAACAGTTAAGCATGGAGAATTAATAGAAAGATGTCTTTTCTAATGTAATTAGTTCAAATTACTAAATCTGAGCAGAACTGAAATCACTCACTTTACTTTGAAAAGAAAGTTGCAATTAAAAAGAATAAAAAGGAACTCTATGTAACTATTTACACCATAGCTTAATTTAATCTTAACAAAAACAATACCAAATAAATCACTGAAAGGAAACTGGGTTTCATGCTGTACCGTCTTCTCAAGACTGATGGCTCATGTTCAGAAACAATATTACTTAAAAGAATGAAAAAAAATCACCGACACTTCCTTTTTGGTCAACAGAAACATTTGTGTTCTCCAGATTAAACCAGAGGGTTTTGAAAACACCGTCTTAAGGAGGGCAGACCAAGAGATGGGCTTTGGTGACAAAACAAACACACCTGATGGTARGAAATGGGCACAGGCTTCCGAAAAACGATCCACTCCACGATCTCGCTGCAGGGAGGAGTAGTCAGGGATCCTGTGTAGCGRTAGTAGCTCCCCAGAGACGTTGGCAGAAGTTCCCTCAGCACAAAGGGATCCAGAAAGGTCTCCTTCTCTGCGGGGAAGATTGACAAGCAGGATTACACTTTTTTTTAATGTGTCTTTAAAACAGACATCACACTGCTAGGCAGCCTAACAAGGTGTAATGGCAACAACATATTTTATCATATATGTAATGAAAGATGGTAACTCCCTCCCAGGAAGGCTCTGTAAGAGCTGACGTGTGGTTTATTAAAAGAGCARCCAAAATGCTAGTCAGCCCCATCCCGAACACACACCCGCCCATTTTGAATGTGTGCAGGTGTGAAATGCACTTGCTACCCCACTGGTTGACGTCAACACAGAAATAGCGCTGCACTCAATGGTTCCAGCACTCAGTGCAGTCTCTCCAGCTCGATGGCAGCAGGACAGAGCCCAGTGGGACACAGCAGGGCCCCGGTGCTCCTGTTTGCTGCTGCCTGACCAAAAAGCACAGGGCTGTGTGTCCATCCCATCTCTGCCAGAGCTGGGAAGGGATGCGGGAGCAGAGTCAAACCCTCAGTGGATTGCTGAGCTGGAGGAGCCAGAGCCATGCTGCTCAGCCAAATTTCTCTGGGAGCTGCCAGGCAGCTGGGCAGCGGAGCAGGGACACTGGTCAGCAGGGACAGGGCATCAGGGCACTGCTGAATCTCAGTTTGATGCTCAAAGCAAGCTCCAGTCAGTGCTGGCTCAGGCTGGCCTGCACCCACCCACGCTGGCACTGCCACACACAGCCAGCACTGCACCATAAACAGATTTCACAGATAGAGCTGCTGCCTCTTCTCCCAAACCCAAGAAAGTCCTTCACAGGGTCCAGCAGTGAAGGTCCAAACTTATTTCTCCGAGAAGCAGCCTGAAATGCAGACCTAAGCACTGCAAGCATTTACCTTCAAGTAACAGTGACAAGCTGGTAATATTTAACATTGTGAAGAAAAATAAATAAACAAAAGGAGGGAACAGCTGCAGGCAAAGCAATTTCCCTGCCATCCCTGAGCATTTATCCTCTGCAATTCATGTCGACTCAGCCTGTGCAAAGGTGCTCACTGCCTCCGGGCAGGCTGACACGTGGGGCTCTCCTGAACATCTCTGTTCCTTATTTTCACAATCCTCTGTGCCTCAAACAGGAGTCCACACTTGGGCAGAGGGAACTCTTCTCTCTGCCTCCCCAGAGCTGCTGAGCAAACCCACTGCCACCCCCTCCCCACCCCAACAGAAGGGAGAAGCAGGTGGGCTGGTGATTGACACACACGTCTCCCAAATAGGATGAAGTCTGCAGAATTCACTTCCACAGCATCCCACAGTCTTCTACAAGTCTTGATCAAATCAGGAGTTGCCTAAACCTCTTAGCAGCAGTCTGATAATTGGGGATTTTTTAACTCCACTTCTGCTGCAAGGTGCCAGTGACACAAATGATTCAGCTATCTTCTATTTTCTGCCCAATATCAACAGGTCTGCAATGTTTTCATAGCTTTTAGCATTCCAAAACATGAGTAATTCTGTTAAAGTCAAGGCAATACTGGAACCTTTTAATGAACAATTCCTTTCCTTCTAATCCAAGKAGATTTCAACCACTTCTGCATTTCCAAAAAGGAAACAAATAATAAAYTACATTTTTTCCTCACCATAGCACACTCTGTGAGAAAATGTGTGCTTAAATAATAAATACTAAAATATATATGATTGGCCAAAGTTCAAAGAGACTCTAATCAAGAAGTCACAATCACAGCAAAGGTCGCATTTAATTTGACTGGCTCATTTTTATACAGAAAAACTTGGGTTAGAAAAACTAGAAACTCAATCACAGGATTTGGTTTCCTAATGCAGCACGCAAAGCTCGACACTGGATTTCTATTTCAGAGCTGCCTCTCTCTATATGAGCACTCAGAACACTGATGAATCCCAAAGTGTTCGAACACGCCAACATCCCCTGCATTAACAGGCAATGACTACACGAGAAAGAGATGGGAGGCACATTTTGAAAAGTGCATTCCTCTCGAATTTAAGAAAAAATGTTGCGGTTAAAATTAACATTTTAGCTATTTCTWACTTTTGTCACCTTTTCATTAGAATGATGGAATCACTTAAGATACTGGATAAATGCTCTGTGCAAAACCACAAATATGGTATCCCTTTATCAAAGGATGGCAGGAGAAGGAAGCTCATTTTACACTTTCAAGGATTTTTGTGCCATATGCTGACAATATTATATTTTAATAATTAATTGTTCATCAAAGGAAAAGATGAAGAACAGGGATGCTAAATTCAAAGTTATTCAAATTGCAAAAATGAATAATGCATGACTTTTATATTAAATACACACTGTATTAAGTAGTCTACATTTCATCCAACTCTGTCTTTCATTTTTAAACATTTTGAACTACAATATGAATAATCAAGTAAAGGAAGCTTATTTAGACAGAGAAATACCTTATTTGAATGCAAACTGGAAGTATCCGACTATGATTAATTTTTGGTTATCAATTAGGGAGGGTTTTTTCCAAGCACTTGGGAAACCACAGTCAGCTGTGAAAAAGAGTATTTCTCAAGGAAAAAGTAGCTTTGCTAATACACAGTTTAAGTAGGGCAGGGTGTACTCGGTCTAATTTTTCATGGCTACAAGCAACGCTCRAAGTTTTCATTAATGAATGCCAAAGATTAAAATGAAAAAATACATATAATTGGATTAAAAAGACAACTAAAATAGATGATAATCAATTGATTATGCTTTAATAACGTAACACTTTTGAAAACGTATCATTCTTTTGTATCGCTTGCCATCTAGATGCATGGAGCAGAGTTTTAGAAATCAGAGTCACAAAAATATTTATGTGAAGCTTGAAGAAAAAGAGACTTAGAGACTCCRGTGTCGGCCTGCCATATCCTTCAAAGTGTATTGAAACAGTAAATGCCATGAAATTAAAGTTCCTAAGAGCTTGAGACAGTTTTGAAAACGGCATTTTGAAGTCATATCAGTTTTAAGATTTCATCTTTAAGTCAGTTATTGTTGGTGAAACTGTAAGGGGAATAATTTCTAGGCTAAGCAAGAGCATTCACTGATTATCACAGAAATATTTTATATATACATACATACAAGTGAACTTGTACACAAATGTACTATATGTATATATAGTTCCTACTAAATGAAAAAGAACAAGATTGGAGATAATAACAAATCTTTCTTTTATGACCAGCKCCTGTTTCCCATTTACAGTGCCTGGAATGGGCATGAACTGTGTCCAGGAGGTTAGGAACAGAGTGGGTGGAGTGAGAAATTTCTAGGAGAGAGAAAGTGGATAAGGCTGGAAACGACATGATTGATGAGACAGCATTTGCTGACAGGTGCTAGGAAATAACTGGCAGACAAAAGCAATGAAAGACAGCAAAGCAAACATGTTCACCTGCAAACACGTGTGAACCACTGCAATCAGTGCTGCAAAACCGACCCATGAGCCACCTCCTCACACTCACACACCAACCAGAGCCTTGCAGTGGCCTCTTCTGCTGCTCCTTCTCCTCCTCCCACCTCGGCACCTGAGCACCCAGGTAGARATACAAACAACCAGGAAAGGAGAGCCCCAGGGATTGTAACCCTGAAGGCAGGCCCTGGAATTAKAGAGCATTCCTCTGGGAAGGAACAACCACCCGCTGCTGCCACTGGGGCTCCCAGGTRATGCAGCAAAGAGCAGCATCCAAAACATCCCCTGGGATGCCACTAATGCAGACAATTTCACCCACAGGTAACAAACAGCAATGCTGAGAAAAACATGTTCACTCTAATACCTCAAAGGTAAAAATAGCAAGCACCACACATTCATTGTTGACCATTAAGACAATAAATGTGGCATTTAAACCACTGAGTGTTCCACAGCATAAAAGGACAATATTGTATTTCAACTCTTACATTCACAAAAAACAATTAACTGAGCCAGCTGGTAACACATTTGACCTTCTGCTACAAAATTCACATCTACCTTTTGGTCTGACTCCCACAACAGCAACGTGAAAAGTCACACCCAGCATATTCTTTGTTTGGGCTGAGAAATCTCCCTGATATTTTGCATGGGACAAAGKGCTGTTTTCTGTACAACCTGACCCAAAGGAAGGGCAAATGCAGACATGCTTTAAAAGCACGACCTATTTACACTCTTTGTCAAGTCATCACCACCAGGTCTGAACTAATACTAAATTGTGCATAACAGTTTACTGAGCAGAGGAGAAAATCAGATCTTAAACCAGACACCAGCAGTGGATCTCCTTCCACCAACTACTGCAGTTTTCACAAGCTGGCGCCAGCAAATATTATATTGAAAGAGCCATCAATTGAACATTTTGCCTTCAAGGACWGACTTGCTAAAAATATATTCTGTAAATCACTGGATATAGACCTGAGTTTCAACCAAATCACTGTAGAGCAAGAAGCTTCTTGACATATGCAGGTAAACAGCACACAATTATCTKTGATCAAAACTCTTTTAAATCTAACAGGAACTTGGATTGGACATCACAAGAAAAYAACTATATGCCAAGTCCATTTATATCTCATGGAATGCTTTGGGACTTTCATCGTGATTTTCTGTAAGAAAACAGGAACTTGGCTGCATTGAAAACAATATCTTAAAATGAGCTTATTTCCAAAATTAACGTATGTGCAGTGCCTGATAGGTGCCCAGCTACAACTCTGAATAACTGAAATCTGCAACACCAATATGAAGAGCTTTGAAAGTCTCCCAAATTTGTTAAACAATGTTATTGCCAATTTCATTTTCACAATGAGCCAAGACATTCTAAAACTTCTGCATTCAAACATTTAAAAAGCAAACACACAAAAATAATCAAAAGGACACCACGTTGCACACCCGCTGAGCCAGAAATCCCCATATAAAGCAGGCAGCAAAGCACAGCCAGRGCCCAGACTCATGGGGGTGATTTTAAAGATGAGATTACAAATATTATATATTACTTTAACTGAGAGGATCATCACATGAGAACTTGCTGTGTAAATCCTGCAGGAAGAGYAGTGTCTGACAGTCCTCTGTA